ACTAGGCTAATTTCCCTCTTGTTGGAAATCAGCTTAACTCATACCCATGGGATGAATCCTTCCTTTTTTAGCAATCGATCTATCAGCCCTCTGTCAGGGTTCTACAAACTGGACGAAAAAGTAGTTTAACGCTGGCTTTCAAAATGTGCCGAAGAAAACAATACCTGACTCGATGAGCAGTTTGATTTACTGAAAGGTCGAACAAACGACCAGTAACTGACTCGAGTAGCGAACATTCTCAGGCCGAACAAGTCTGATTTGAAAACTCTAGCATTGTTAGACGATGAAAAAGTTAGAATATCATCCAAAATTATCACTCGGACAGTACTTTTCAGGTCTTCCTAAATGACATCGGTGCGGGTTTCCTAGGGCGGCTCCTGTTCAATTTGTTCACCTCCGATATCGCGGCTCTTGCATGATTGGTGTATGGTGGTACGTAGTGTTTCCTACCCGGTACATCCCGAGAAATTAACCAAAAATCACATTTCCCGATTCCTGGGAATCAGTGACTAGTTTCTGGGAAACACCTCAAATTCTTTTGAAACGATTCATGAAAGTTGAGGTTCACTTATAAATATTTCAATCTTAAATGGCAAGGCTGGGTGATTTCTAAAATAAATTAAATTAGCATTACTATTTTCAAAAATACACCGATGTATGCAAGTCCATGCTGAAATATTCACGGAATATCCTTATATACTTTAGAAGCTCATGGGTATTGAGATTCAATTTGACTTATAAATATTTCAATCTAAATTGGGAAAGCCATATGATTTTGAAATTAAGTTGAATTAGCCTAACTATTTTCGAAAATTCCCCGAAGCCCATGCTTCAAATATACCGATATCATTGCAGAATTTCCTAAAATAAATTTGAATATGCCAATTTAAAATAACACACTAAAGTGGTAAGCTTTATACGCTAGATGAAAGTATAGAGTTGATAGTTCAATTAGAGTACGACAGTGTGAAAATTGTGTATAGAGAGTAGAAAGCGAGCAAGGACAACTTTGAGGAAGGTACAAATCGGGTTGATCATCTCTCTTTACCAAACTCCCCCGTTGGAGAGAGTTGGTGAGGGGTATCCCCCCACCACCACTGGCATAAAGATATGATCACCGACTATGTGTTTGGAACAGTTCTATCAGATTGTACCGCACTCAAGTTGTTATCTGAAGGGAGGCATCCAGTCGTAGGTTTACTTTCATCTCCTCATCTATCGTATAAAAATTACCCCTTAGTCTGTTATTTGATATTAGCATCTTCAACTATGTATATCGTTAACTTCATGCAGAAGTAATACAAACAAATAGTTAAAGTATCCTAAAATAGTTATGGAACTTCTCATGATAATTGAAATTCAATTTGCAATGGAAAAACCGGGTGATTTCTAACTTAAATTAAATTAGCATAACTATTTTCAAAAATTCACAGGTGTATGCAATTTTCTATGCATCAAATATACTGAGATATTCACAGAATATGCTCAAATATATTTTAAACAACTGATAAGAATTGAGGTTCAATTTGAATTATAAATATTTCAAATTGAAATTGCAAAGCTGGGTGGTTTCTAAACAAATTCAATTAGCATAACTATTCAGGAAATTTTGGGTGAAATTAATAAGAAAATTTAAAGGGGGTCATAAGAAACTTCTGATGAGACAGTTTTAAGAAACTTCCATAAGGAATGTCTTCTAAGGTAAATCGGAAGAATATTCCAGGCGAAATTAGAAGAATCTCTGAGAACTATCTCAAATATTGTTGAAATAACTCATGACAATAGAGGTTCAATTTGAAAAATAATCTAGAATCTCAAGGCTGGGTGATTTCCAAAATAAATTAAATTAACAAGACTATTTTCAAAAATACCCGGATACATGCAAGTCTTTGCATTAGATAAGCACAATTAATGTAGATAAATATTGACGTATTTCCTCAAATACTATTGAAACAACTCATGGAAATTGTGGTTCAATTTGACACATAAATATTTCAATCTGAAATGGAAAAGTAGGGTGATTTCGAAAATAAATTAAATCAAAGTGTTTTCATGTTACTTCATACGCAAAGTTCGCGATTTTCGGAGTTGGTTGGAAATGCTATCTAACATGAAGCTTTAGTGTGATAGTTTATCAGCTGGAGAATTGTTTTAGACGAGGGTAGGTAGATAGTTTCGATAGAGTACGGCAGTATGAAAATTGAATAGAAGTTAAAAATGAGCGAAGGGCCATTAATGTGACAGTACAAGTCAAACGCACACTTTTTCGCCTAACCCGTGCGATGTACGCGGAGATTTGAAGTATGTCATCAAATCTGCAGGCGCACCTTTAGATTTGAAGAGGCATACTTCAAATCTCCGCGTACATCGCACGGGTTAGGCAAAAAAGTGTGCGTTTGACTTCTACTGTCGCATTAATGGCCCTTCGCCCAAAGGGGAGACTTTTATGTATTTTTGAAATTCATTAGAGTTGGTTCAAAATGCTATCTAACATGAAGCTTTAGTGTGATAATTTATTAGCTAGCGAAAAGTTTTAGAAGAGGGTAGGTAGATAGTTCCGTTAGAGTACGGCAGTATGACAATTAAAGGGAATTGTCATACTGCCGTACTCTAACGGAACTATCTACCTACCCTCTTCTAAGACTATTCGCTAGCTAATAAATTATCACACTAAAGCTTCATGTTAGATAGCATTTTGAACCAACTCTAATGAATTTCAAAAATACATAAAAGTCTCTGTTTCAAATATGCTTAAATCTTAACAGAATAACCAAAGATACTTTTGAAACAACTCATGAGAATTTAGGTTTAATTTGACGAATAAATATTTCAATCTAAAATGGCAAAGCCGGGTGTTTTCAAAACAAATTCAATAAGCATAACTTTTAAGGAAGTTTTGGGTGAAGTTATAAGAAAACTACAAGAAGGAAGTTTGAAGAAACTTCCAGAGGAAGTCTGAAGATCATCTAAGGTAAATCAAAAGAATGCTGCAGGAGAAATTAGATGAATTTTTCGAAGGGAGCCAGAAGAAATTTCCGAGTGAATTCAGGAGGTTGCTGGGGAAATCAGAAGGCATTTTCATGCGAATCCAGAAGGCTTATGAAGGAATCCAGTAGAAACGGTTGAATAAACTTGCAATTACAGTTTTCAGAGACTTGCAGAAGAAGCTGGATGCTCTTCCCAGCTGTGGAAACTAGAAGGCCTTCTGGAAGAAACTTCCGATTAAATCTGAAGATAATTTCTTGGAAAGTTGAAAGATATTTCTGGGAGAAATTCGTAAAAAAAATTCCAGAAAGTGGTCAAAAAAAACCAGTAGAAGTAGGAAGAAAAACAGTGAGCAACCCGGAAAAAAATCCGATGGAAGATAACATATTATAATTAAGTGGCTATTATTTTCTCGATATTGTAAATCGTTCTACAAAAATAAAAATGTATCATTCTGATGAAAAACTGACCTGTATGCATCTTATTTTCTTTCTGGATGTAAACAAAAATATTTCCCGATTCCCGGGAGTTCCCGGGAAGAGCCATCGTCAGCCATGTCTCCCGTTTCCCGGGAAGCCAAAAATGGCCGAGAAATGGAAACACTAGTGTCTCTGCTTGCAGATAACATATCCATCGTCTACAACGAAAGGGTCATCGGAGCTCCGAATGCCAAACTACATAGAACGGGGTGACATCTACACACTACGAAAAAGTCATGTTAATTTCGGTTCCCTGAGACTGACACATGAGAGCGGCGCTTTTAACAGAAGAATCAGTTGAAAGAAACGAGAAAATAAATTCAATCAAACGTTCTCTTTGTCGAGTTGCTTATGCTTTGGTTTCAGAACACCTAGTTTTACATGAAACGTTTGTTTACGTTCCATGATTTACGTCCAATATTGATTACATCTCGTGTAAAAGTAATTATTTCTAAGTGCTATGTGCTGTAAAATCCGGGATATTCGAAATACCTGTAAAAACCTGAAATTATCAGGGAATTTCGCCGCCAATCATGGAAATTTCATTCAACAAGTTCAGTCAAGTTGCTGAATTCATTTTTAAAGATTTGTGAGTTTCAGAGTCAAAAGTCTAGGATTTTGTATTGAAAAGTCTAGGATTTGTACGGTATTGAAAAGTCTAGGATTTGTATCAGATATCTCAAAGAAGTCCCAGAATTTTCAAAACTTTGTAAGTTGATCTATTGTTTTAAGTCCCAGAATAATTAAACATATTATTATCGTCCACTACTAGAAATGCGTTCTAATGAACTTTTGGCGATTGAAATTGGATCACAACTGTCCTTAATCATTAAAGTCCTTAAACATGCGGGTTGAAAAATTATTTTGAAACTGATTTTAAGAATTTATTGGATCCTTGCTCAGAATCCATCTTTACAAAGGAGGAATGATGTGTCTAATGATTTTAGGTTTTTTTTAAGTAAATTTTATTATGTTTTCACTTTACTTTTAGTAAATTTCTTCGTAGCATCATCCATTTTAAAATTATGTTTCGAAATAATAAAAATTGTATTGTTCAGAAAGCTGATCATATATAATTTATAAAAAAATAACATAAACGAACGATAACCCAAATAATACGATTTGTAATAAATTTAATTAACGTCATATACTTTACAGACAATTTTTAATATCTGAAAGTTATATGTTTTTCCAGTGAAATGTATGAGACAAATTTTTTGAGTGATATGTTATTCATTCCTCAAAATGGCTCTCTAGAAAGATTATAAAGTTTGTAACAAACGCACCACATGGAACAGTCCTCATGGTTTGTTTTGATTTTTATGACCATCGTATTGGTGTTGATAGGCACTTTCCATCATGTTTGTTTTTATTTTTATTTTTGTTTTTTTTTTTTTTCATTGCATTCAAACCCATACTGCTGCCAGAAGTACCGCATATGTCGGGCCCATGCTGCACACCACCTCTCTCTGCTGCTGCTTGTCTTCGTTTGAGTGCGATCGCGCAAAAATAAATAATGGAAAAACTGATCTTTACCAACACCAAGCTTGAGCGCGTGAGGACACACGCTACACACTGAAACTGACTGTGTCACCACTGCACATGTGCGTCGCGATGTCGCTCGCGTACTTAAATATCACCACTACAGCGTCGCGGTGACCGTCTCGAGCGAGCGCCCACCGTCGCTCCACCGTGATCCATCCGCCCGCCGGGTTTGCCCTAAAGCGTTGCACAGCGCGATGACAGATTCACAAGTTCCGTATGGAGCACAAAAAATGAACAATTATTCCACAATGCCGACCAGGAAAAAAATCAGCTCCACGAATGCCAACGAACACCCATCGAAAACCGCGCACTCGGAAGCGTAAATTTCTCCGACCAAAGGTTGTCACTTTTTCTTCACTTTGATTCCAAAATGATTCAATCACTCACTCACAGTTCTTTTGTTTCACGGTACTTTTCCAATGCGAAAAAAAATGTGATCTACTTAAACGCACACAAGCTTTCGGTCAATGTTCTCTTCTCTAGTATGGTTCGCTCAATCAAAACGTTCTTTGTCACTGTTTTTCCCGTATTTTCATTGGGTTACTCCTAGCAAAATTCCACGCAGCTACAGCCAGCTTAAGTCCGAAACTCAAAGCACTTCAAAGCTCGACGAGCTGTGTGCAATGTGCACCTTTCGATGGTCACTTTAGTAGTGAATGCAGCGCACACATTTGAGCACTGCACACAGAGAAACCCAACAGCGAGATTCCCGAGATCTCCCAAAGGAGAATGCATCAAAAACTCGAAACAAGCGCCGCCAGCTGAGTCACTGTTCGAGTCGTAGTAGGTAGATGATAGGCGCACTCGATCGATCGTCATTCACTACTGGATCGAAAACTGTTCCGCTTGATCACTCTCTCACCATATTGCTGAGAATAGATCGAACTCTGACATCGCTCTGCATTGAGCGTAGTAGAGGCTATCACTCTCCGTATACAATGTATCGATCACTTCACTTTGATTGACGACTTCGGCCCGACCAGCTTTTCCTGTACGAACTAAGCCCGACGATCGCGAGGGCGTTAATTTGCAATGCGAATTCCACAATTCCACTGCGAACACGCAAGAGCACACTACTGATTACCAATATCCCGGTTCGACCCGCTCTACCTCGCTGTTGTCATACACCGTTCGATATACACTGCCAAAGAAAAGGCTAGTTGGTGTCCGGTCCCTTTTGCACTCAACTCAAACACAAACGAAACCGACTTCGGTACGGATGGTACTTCACGTCATATCTATACACACCACGCGACTCTCTTCCATGCCGATACCGCACACACGCTGACTAATGGGTGAACTAGCAAAATCTTTTTTGTCAGAGACTCTTCACGATGACACTGCCTGTGCTGCCACTATCGCTCGGTTGACGCGAATGGAAGGTACCGTTGGGGTGGTGAGTTAGGTGTGGAGTGTGTTTGCAGGGTGCCGACTCATTATGCTTAATATAATTCCCTGAGTTTTCCAGGAGTTCAACGTAAAATTTCAAGGATTGTAAAGACACATTTCCTACAAATGATATTTTGGGAAAAGCATCATAAGAATTATTTTAAAATGTCTTCAGAGTTCAGATTAGAACTCTCGCTCTCTCTCTCTCTGATATTCTTTTATAAATTGCTCCATAGCATGAGCATGAGCATGAACATTTACGACCATATATTTCAGTAGTTGCCACTCCGCGATTGACCAGATTTAGCGAAATTTTCACCATACAAATCAAAAGAACCATATGAATGGGGTTTGGAACTAGCAATCCATTCTCAGTGTACAAATACCGCAGAATCCTTATTTGTGATGTCAATAACGACGCAGGCCACGTCCTTACGGTCAACGGGGAGGGAAAGGATTGTTATTTGTTGTTACTAGAGATCGAGTATACCTCTGCATCTCCACGGTTGTTACGGGAAGGACGTTTTTGTTAGTGGGAAGGGTAAGATAGATCTGGATTCACATTGGGAAGTGATGCGATCTTTTAAAGCCTGCTAAGCAACTCAGTAATGTAAAGAAGCTTGGGTTCTAACCCACGATCTTCTGCTCAGTAAGCAAAAACGGTCACTCTAAGGCCACCGTGCCCCTTGCATCACAACAAGCTACGACCGACGATCGTTCATTATCGGTTACAAGAACCTATTACAATTAAATTAAATCCTCCGAATTAGTAAACAATGTCTTCTGAATCGGATCAGGTGTACGTCACATTGGTCTGAATATACTTATTACTTTTATGAATCGTTCCTCCAATTACTGCTATTAACTATTTTCTACAATAGTGGCTTGGATGATCAACTCAGTAATGTAATTAGGTTTGGATTTTAATCCACGATGTTCTACTCATTAAGCAAAAACGGTTGCTCTATAGCCACCGTGCTCCTTACATTACCACAATCTACGACCGACTTACCAAAATGCTATTCAAATGAAGCGACGTCTATGAAAGCAGCCAACAATGTCTTCGAAACTAGATCACGCATACATCCTTTCCGAAACTCATGGTTTAAACAATTCAACTATTGGTTATTAACTGCGCTTCATGCTCTCAAAACCCAACGATGGCGGTTTATTATGTTGTGGGAGAGCTTGGGATTAAACCCATGGTATTCCGCTCATTAAGCAAAACCGATCCTTCTAGGGTTATCGAGCATCTCAAAACCATAACACTCCATGGCAAAACATGATTAAGTTTTCACTTGGTATGTAATGAACAACAGATATACGTGATAGTTCATATAATTTCAGTGGCTGATGGTTAATTTTAAATATACTAACGGTACTGCCTACGGTGACTACGACAGCGATTACGACAGCGACTACGACGGTGAATACGAGGACGCCTACGACGACGACAACAGCGAATTTTTAACTTACGATTTGTCTAGGAAATAACACCTTTGTCCAGCACCTCCACTTGAGCTTCATGTCTGCTATCTGTCACTGTTTGCAAAAATATCTAATAGGGGAAATGGATGTAATGTCGTCCTAAATGCCTCTAATTTGGGCCCATACATAAATTCAGCAATCGACTAAATTTTCAACAGCGACGAAAAACATCCATTAGTACCGACCCAATGACGCGTTCATCTAGATAAAATTGATAAATAGCAGATTTTTAGCGATGGGCCCAATATTAGATCCATAGGCCAACGTTAAAGCTTTTTCCCCTATTGTAAATTTCCGTATTAATGTGTATGGAGTATGGAGTATGGATACACTAATGATGATGATTGAATGATATTTCAAAAACAAGAAGAACACAAATTTACTTAACCTTTGTAGAACCTTAAAGCTACTATTATTTCGAACATTTTTACCCAATATCTCGCAGGTGCTTTTAAAAAAAATCTATTTGGAAATTGTAAGATTAAACATACTTGTAGTTTTTTTTTTCCTTGATTTATTTTCCATCGATCTTGTTTTCCGCGCTGAGCACCAATGCTACCTACGCCAGGGAGGCAGCTCCCACACCTGGATCCTACTTATCGACCTATCAACTCATAGACCGGGGGACCAACGGCTTTACTTCCCTTTCGAAAGAAGGCGTAATCAGAGATTTTAATGCCTCAGAACATCCCGGCGGCGCCGACTGGGATTAAACCCAGGCCTGCTGGGGTGAGAGGCAACCCTCGGAATAACCTTAATCTTGATTATTATGTATTTTTGATCAAAGTATGCCTCTTCAACTATATGAAATGAAGTTAATTGGTGATTTTTTTTTATATATTAGCTGGTCGTTGGCTCCGAGTGGTCATCTGATGACCCGCCAAAATATTCGGAACACCCGTAAAATGGATTGCTGCGTAAATTAGATTAAAGTAGACCTTGATTTTTTTCTTCAGCTATATGATATATGGATTTCCAGCATCACCTTTTTTCTAGACGGCTGGTTTCTTTTCTCCCCCGATGGCCTCTCGGAAACTTGGAATAAAATCGAAACCACTTGGCCGATCTGTTCCAATTTTCAGTAGACCATGATAACGAACACTTTTCTACTTACTGTGAAAATTTAAGCCAATTTCATGGTGAAACAAAAAAGCTAGGCCTCCCCGAAAGTAAGGCAGGTGGTGTTCATTTGCAATGCTAATAACTTTCCGGGGTTAACGTGGATTCACATCCGGTCTTGAGTCAAAACATTCCCAAGACTTCAAAGGTTCTACGTTTTGTACACGAAGAAAATCGAACAACTTAAACTATGTTAATCGTCGATCGAGTTTCCACTGGCTGCAATTACGGCCTCCACACGCTCCCGGAATGCACGGCAGATTCTAATAATGTAGTCTGGATCCATTTCTCTTCATTTACGGGTCAATGTTTGTCTGAAGCTTGCTGTACTCGGGTGGCATTTAGAACAGGCCTTGGTCTTTATGACGCACCATATTGAGTAATCCAGAGGATTGAGATCGGGGCTGGATGGCGGCCACATATCCTTCGCCCAGAACGGAAGATGTTCCTGCAACCACTTCTGAGTGCGGTTCGAGGTATGGCATGGAGCCCCATCTAGTTGAATTACAACATTTGGTTTCGGACCGTACTGTTCTTTGATCAACGGAAGAACAACCTTCCTTAAAATCCCGATGTAGATCTCCGTGTTGACCTTGTCGCCTTCTGGAATGAACACCGGGTCCATTTTTTTTTTGCCATCGGAAGCCACCAATCCAAATGTAGTGTACCTACATGCTCCCATCAAAATTTAACATAGACACATTAAGCAACGCTACTTCAGTGTCTGCTTAAGTCAACATTTTGGCATAACCAGCAAGTATGGGAACGTTTGCCTCCATCGTGTCTCACCGTAAATTGTTCAACTAAAAATGACTCCTCGTCAGCATGTTTCAAGTCAGGTAGCTGGTTACTATGCATAGAAATAAAGACAGCACATTCTAACTCCAACATCGGTTGTGTCCAGTTGTACAAAGATATCACATCCACGTACCGATAAGTTATCGGTGAAGTTTCATCTGGGGCTGACTCGCTGGAAGCCCAATTTTGTCAGCTCCCTTTTTGAAAATCTTTTCTTATATTACACGAAGCCTATGCGATTTATCAGTGGTTTTATTGCACCAAAGTATACCCACAGACAAACAGACGTAACTCTTCATTGTGTATCTTCGTTCATGCATTTAACGGTTGATTTGAATATTATCAGTTCCGCGAACTACTCGCCGCAGCGCTGGCATCGGATCACTTTGACGTTTCTATATATTCTATAGAAATTTTATGCAATATTGTTTACGAGTTAGCGGGCAAGCTTGTTTTCCGCGAGAAGCCAGATAGATGTCGTTACTGAAGTTATATGTTTTGAGATACTATGTTTTCAAGAACAAGTTTTTCAAAGAGTTACGTCTGTTTGTCTGTGGTATACCTTTGAAGATCCGTCTTAAAGATAAATGCTAAATTTTAAATTATTGAAAGATAAAGGTCTGAATCGGGTCATTACTGTTGTTGATGCTATATAATTTTGGTCAATTCCGTAGTGATCATTGTGTCCATTTTAGAAAAGTTGGAATTTTTGATAAGCTTTCCAATAAAAATGTATTTTTTTATTTTTTTTTTTTTATTTATGAGGAACATTTTTGATAAGTTATAAAATGTGCACAAGTAATGGCCCAATCTCATGTATAATGTTGCTTGTTTTGACCTCAACCCATTTGTATGCCAATAGGTCAGAACCGGTGCAAACCAAAACCAATTTTTAAAAAGTGCCATAACTAGTGCACCTCCTCTACACTTAGACTGGAATGCGAGGTTTGAAAGTTCTTGGCTACAAATTATAGGTGTCTAATAATGATTTCACTATACATATACGTAAACAGTTTTTCCCCAAACACGAAACAGACACGGGGCTGGATGTAATGTACCATTACACTACTAACACATTTTCCATTTGAACAGAAAGTCCTACAGCCACGAGCAAAGCAAACATTTTGTCATCACAATCGGGAACGCGTTCGCGATAAGATCAAGCTGCTATTATAGGTTCAAGTTGCCACTGGCACGCCGTCTGTATGTGGGTATGTACAGGTTTAAGCAGGGGTGCCAATGTTCCAGTGCCAACTGGAATCTTCCAGTTGTCTTTTCGA